TAGTTGTGAAATATATATTCAACGTGCTTTTCATTGATTATAAAAACCCAACACAATAAACTTAGATGTATTTCTAAAAATTAGATATATCAATGTTTATTACATAAAAACATGTTAATAATGGTGAAATAATGTCATTTGATACAAAGGTACACATGATATATTATTTTATAAACACAAATCTTGCGGGAAGGGCTGGCTTTAGTGATAATGATTTCATGTTTTTAAGCAATGCATGCGGTGCTCGAGATTTGTTCGGTCTTAAGTAGGTCATGTTTCCTTGTTTTGGCTGGGATTGAGAATTGCATAAGCGGTCTCATCAATTGCCATCAAGTTATAATGTACGTGTACATGATTGACTGAATACAGATACTTAAACAACTGTACAAAAATGGCAAACAAAACAACATATCCCTCTCAAAACATATACGAACGATGTGTAGAGCACAAGACGAACAGTTTTTATACAAATCTTAAATTATCTTTTTGTAACGCTCTAAAATAATGTGAAACTCGATTTCATTGCTGGCGTTATCATCATCAATTCAATCTATACCGCACCGTTGCTTTTATTGCAAAGACGTCGTATTTGAGATGTACATTCCTTCCAAAATATCTCCTCGTCACGGTTTTCCGGTTTGTTCGGATAATCCATTATCTTACTGCAATGTAAATCCTGAATCATTTCCGCATCTTTACCAGTCATTTCATCCAATTCAATTCCAAGTATTGAAGTTTTACAATGCCTATTCAGTACATCACATTGCCACATGTGGACAGCAGTTCTCATTCCAACATCATTGCACCAATCTTTGGAGAACACAAATAATACCACCCGACTTGAATGGATTGCCCTACCAATAATCTGAATCAGATTTCCATTGCCTTGTATATGGTAAACTTGCACGAATGCAACTAGATTACTGGCTTTTAAAACCGGTCGCAGTTTGTCCATAACAAAGTCTTTATCGTTGTGATTTCTTCTCATCCGGTCTGCATCATCCTCTGGAGCGGAGGCAACGAAAACATCATATTTGTACGTATCTCCAATTTCTTCATAGTTCGTTCTCCTAAAATTAATTCTAAAATTATAGTTACAGAATACAACATAATACCAATATTGAATTTTCCAGCGGTGTTTGTGTACGATTATCCCCAATATGACATTGATAATAAGAACAAGGGCGATGGCAAGGCCGACCATTACACCAACATATGACTGGCATTCCTTTTTAAGTTCATTAACAATGTTCTCAAGGTGGTAAAGAGATTCTATATAAACTCTGCTCAAATTCTTTTGATGGATACATTCCGAGATTTCAATATCTAAGCCATTGTTTTTGTCGGAATGTTCCAATATCCAGTTTAAAAAGTCTATATTATAGCAGTAACAATGAATTCGATTCCTGTTTAGATTTACTTTTAAGCTGTTATTCTTTGACGGGTTTTCTATACTCGCAGCGATAGACTCCAATTCACATCTTGTCGTTTCTGATAGTGAACTTATGTAATTTAAATGCATATCTAGATATCTAAGCTTTGTCATGTGTCCAAGTTTTATTTCAAACTCTTCAATAACATTACCATATGCAAATAATTTGACCAGATGCCGTTGATACAGGAGAAAGTTTTTCGGGATTTGGTGTATTCGATTATATGCTATGTTTATCAATGTGAGTGACGTGAGAGGTTTCAGTATTTCGCAAGAATCGTTATATGCAAAAGAAGAGCCCAACATATTATCATTTAGATACAATTCTACTAAGTTAACAGCAAATTTGAAAAAGTTTCTAGAAACATTATAACAGTAGTTCTCGGACAAGTCTAATATCTGAAGTTTTTCCAAACCAGCAACTGGTCCTTGCCAACAGTACAATAGCGACTGGCTTACGTTCAACTTTTTTAGGGAATTATTCTTATTAAGAACCATTTCAAAAATTGGACTTGCTAGATTGCTGACACTTAGATCAAGGTCTTCCAACTTTGGAGGCAAATAGCTAATGATAGTTCCAGGTGGAATGTAATTGTCCTTTCCTATATATGGACATGTGAAAGATACTGCATAGTCTAATATTTCATCTAGATTGAGATTACTTCTGGCTACATTTTTTATTTTATGTTGTAATATATCTACGTTGTAGCTTTCCTCTTCAATTATTTCAAAACGATTTATATCAACATTATTCTCCAATCTCTGAGTAGAGGGAGCGTTCTTTGAACTACAGTTGCTTCCATTTCTTGGTACATTAATCTCTGAAATATGTTGCATGTTTGTGAACTCCATTTCCTCATTCTTAAGCGAACAACGATTGGCTTCAATTGTGTCTGTTTTATCAGCGCGGTGCAAAATTGTCCATTCTTTAGTGAAAAATTGATATGATAAATCTAGGTGCGTTAAGTTCTCCATGTATCTTGACATGAAAATGTAATAACCTTGGTAGAATTTATTCTCTTTTAAACTAACCACTTGTAAAGTTTTCGGTAAGGTCTGGAATACATTTAGCTCTATTAGTTCAATACGATTGTTATCCAAATGAAGTTCCCGGAGTGGTACATGACTGAGAGATTGTGCCATTCTTGTTGTTAATATCACTATGTTTTTTTGCGGCTTGGCTATTTCAATTTCGTTTAAAACTAATGTATCAATTTTGTTTTGTAAGCTACTGAGTGCAATCGATACTCCTGCCAGCGTGAGCTGACGATTTACAGATATATCTAAGTATTGCAGATTCTGAAGTTCTTTAAACGCGTCCTCTTCAACCTTTTCTACGTTACATTTTCTGACATAGAGGTGAGTTAATGAAATAAGATTATCGAACATTCCACTGTTTATGTTAGTCATGCAATATTCTGGACTTCTCCATGGTGGCTCGATGTAATCTCCAGCTAGGCGCAACACTTTAAGAGTACTGATATTTCTAAATCCAGGACCGAATTTCAAATTTGGGCGTCCGTCAATCCAAAGTTCCTTTAATGACCCGAGTTTTCCTAACTGTTCATCTGGATATCCTTCTTTATCCTTATATGTCCCTGTTGTTCCATACATTTTCAAGACTTCAAGGGATTGTAGATTATCAAAAAGCATTAGTGGTGTCGTTTCATTGGTGAGTGGAAACTGCTCATTTAGGGAAATATTTAAAACCTTTAACTTAGAAAGTCCATTAAACGTATAGTCTGAGATATTTTGTAACCTCAGAGAGTTGTTGTATAAATCCAAAATAATAAGATTGTTTAACTTTTTGATTTTTCCATTGTCTATGCTTTTTATAGAATTTGATGACAAGTTCAAAACGGTTGTTTCTTTACTTATATGTTTAGGAATATGTTTAAGACCGCGGTAGGAACAGTTTACCACGGTTGGCATGGAACAGTTACAAATTGTGCATGCATCTTTAATCACTTCCAACTCGGCAAAAACGAAAGCTGTTAAAAGCGTAGAAAGCAGATATACTTCCATGATCTGAAATGTGAAAGGGTGTTAAAGTGAAATGAATAATAATTAAGAGTTTGAATAAAACTAAAAATTAAAAAAAAACCCTGATAAAATCAAATGAATATTTGTATTCACGATTGCAAAAAGCTTTTACGAATAAAAAGTTTGATAAATAATAATAGCGATGTTTACAATTAGAGTAAAAAGTAGTTCTGTATCATGTTACTTGAAGGTTACAATCAATATTTATAAGACATTCTTGCCTAAAAACTAGGCGCCTATAAATAAACGGAGGAGAAAACATGCATAAATGGATAGATTCACGTGGCCACACGCCATTATTGTGCGTGACTCAGGGTGCAATATAAAACAGCTTCTTGCAATATGACAGTCCCAGTAATGTCATTACCAAAACAGAACTGTAAAATGACACCGCACTTGCACATAGAAAGCATGACAAAATATTTTTTTGTACGCATAACCAATAACGAAATGCGGAATGAATTATCGAATAAGACGAAAAGATTGATGCACGAATAGCGCAAATGCACCTTCTTTGTGCATTACCACCTACATAAGCATCCTCATTTTTACCGCATATGTTATGCACGAAAGATTGCATTTATCTTCTTTTCTTGCATAAAAGCTTAGTACGCATGGTATACGTTAACTGTGGGCGTATTAATACATACATTAATGAATAGACTCTCGGACTCTCGTGTTGTTATTATCGCTTTAAAGAAAATTCAATATGCAAAATATTGTTAGTTTAAGTATGGGTCGCTACCCGTTCAATTTCTTTGACGGAATTATTTGAACGTGCAATCTGCAATCATATATTGTAAAAACGACCATTAAAATTGCTGTGTTACTACATCCGGTACGGACCGGAAATAAAATTGGTTTGCTATTTACGTATTTCTGACTCTAAAATGTTCTTTATATAATTATAGTTTTTGTAAGATTTATTTATATATAAAATCAAGTGTTTTATAAAACGAAACAGAAAAAGTTTAAATACTTACCGCTTTTCCCTGATCACAGATAAATAATCATAGATTTGAATGTTACTGCAATTTTAAGTTTTTCACTATACTCTGTCATCTAAATATATGTCACATTTTGTTCCTTCTCTTACTATCAACCAACGATCACGGAAAATATTACAAACTTACGACGTTAAGATGTATACAAAAGAATTATTAAAAATACCCTTATACAAAGGCAAATTCTTTTCAAAGTTATGTTGGTCTTTATATTGGTTTTGTTTCTTTTTGTATAATGCAATTGGAAATCCCTAACATTTTTTTACTGTTCGCATATTTTTCCTCTTTCGCATGGGTTTCAATGCACTTATGTAGAATAGTTAATGCATTATCTTGCTTGAACAACTCCTTTTTAAGATACATCCAATTTCATTTTAATCAAATACATTTCTGACTACATATTGAAACACAGTTAAAGAAATTAAATCGAATACAAGTATAAAATATGGTTGTCACACCTATACAATATTATAGAGCTAGCCTGACCAATAGGATGAAGCGATTTTTGACTGTCAACCATTTGACACTAGAGCAAGGTGGCGTACCGAAAGGCAAAATGTACCAGATGAGGTGTTTTCAGAGTCGATGACCGGATCCTCTCAGATGTCTCATCATGAATTTAAAGTGAGCCATTGTCTTCCACAGGAAAAAAATTAACTATATTGAAATTATTTCTTTTTGTGTGGTGCTCCAAGACTTATTTTAGTCTCAATCTTCGCACAATTGAAAGGCTTTCAAAACTTCTAAGGAAATGTGTATGCAACAAGTTTATTTAATTATTTCCCTACATTCGTAATTAATTTCTATATTTACTACACTTTTGAAACTTATCTGGAATATTCAAACGACAAGCGACAGAACGACCGACCAAACATTAAAATGACCATTCCTAAAAAACATTTTCAGCGAACAAACATTTTTCGCAACAAAGGAGACAACATTAAATAAATCGCCAACTTTTTACAACGCGTTTATATAGTGTTTATAATGGTGACACGTTTTTCGTAGGTCTTAAAAAAAAAAAAGAAAACACACGCACGCACGCACACACACACGCACGCACGCACGCACGCACGCACGCACGCACGCACGCACGCACACACACACACACACACACAACAACAACAACAACAAAAGAAAAGAAAACAATAACATCAACGAAAAAAAATCAATAACAACGAGCGAACGCACAAATGAATAAACACGCACACTTGCAAAATAACATGGAGTAACATGATCTTCTGTTTCTGTTCGAAACGTACAAATGATTTTATTAATTATCTTTCAGAAGTGCTCTTGTATAATGCCAGGTATATACTATTATCTTCTTGTTTTGATCTTGACACCCCTTCAAACTTACAATAGACTGTTAGAAATTCAAATGAGGACAAGGATGTTAGGTGTATGTATAGGTTATGGTATATATAGGTTAGTGTAATATGATACTACAACCACGTGTACATATCCCAATTTACACTAAAATAGGATATTTTGAAATGTTACCTTTCGTAAACGAGTATTTTTGGCTGAGATAAAATACACAATTTCAAAACAAAACTAGGTTTAAAACTTTAAAAATTGAAATACATATATGCAATTTAGATTTGAAATCTACATGAAGACAATTCAAATATAACATGATAACATATTATGATTATAATGTATTAAAATAACCATGTCTATATATATAATTTATCTATCCTGCTATAATGACAGGCACGAGAACAAAAATAATGTTTTTATCACTCTTTTAAAACGTTTATATTATTTTGATCTGAATTTAAAAAACATATTTTAGGCTAATCTTTAATCCGTCATTAATCCAGATATAGAATTGTTCTCGTTTTTGTCACAACGTACTTATCAAATGAATGGAATGTCGAAGTGAAATACTATGTATTTATTGTAATGAAATTCTTATTCAGTTGATAAATGAAAATTAAGCATATTTTACAATATATCGTGTAAGGATGTTGCTGTCTGATTTTTTCTTACTGTCATGGCGTGTTCTTCTGTCTGCTACCTAGTTCAGAGTGATCATGAGTGTAAGTTGGGCTATAACGGATAAACGCTATGAACGTCAGCCATGGAAGCGCGAAAACTTTGATGGATACTTTACTGATATACGGCGTGCAGCGCGAAAATCGTTACCAAGGCGACCAAACAAAGATTTATGCGGGTTACTAGGGTTACCTCTACCTTCGCAGAGATCTTTATCTCCATCGGATGGTATCCAACGACAAAATATTGCAGATAAATTAAAAAATGCACCAGTTGCATTGAAACCAATTACTCTACAAGAAGTTGAAACACAGGAGGTGGTTGAGCAGCAAGGCGTTGGTGTAAGTTCTTATAGCATCTTTATTACATAAAGTCAACGAAAATTTGCTTTTAAAGGCACATTATATGTCAGAATTACATATATTTTTTAAGTCTTAGAAATGTTAATTACTGTGTTTGATAATGTTTGAATCATTTAGAGCATGTTACATGTTTAAAAACCGGCGAAAGTATCGCTGAATGTGAAGTAATGTGTTGTAAAGGTAGAAAAGCCATAAAAGATACAAATCTATATGAATATACCAAAAAAAAAGAAGCAGAGATAGTTGCTCTTTATGGCAAATGAGTATTTTTTGGAAACTGTAACAAAATACTAAATATAAAAGGTTTAGAAAAATAAAAATGGTAGTATTTCTGGGCATAATGGGCCTTTAATGAAAATATTAGGTGCAGTTATACATTTTTCAAATTTATTACATTTCAACTTGAAAACTAAATTATAATAAAAGATAAATTCACATGTAAAGAACCATTTTAATATTTCTATTATTTCATATAAGCATTTTTTTCAATATGTTGGTGCGTCTAACGGCATTCCAATAATAAGACTAAAACAAAATTGGTTTAATCATTATTTACTTCTTTTCTTATTTCAGGGTGGTTCTAGCAAACTTAAATCCATACTTTTGTGTAACACATCAAGAACCGAAAACTGCAGTCAAAGGGAGAAAACCGTAATTGGATTCAGCGTTTACTTTGCGCTCATCATCTTCGTGTTGTTGATTATTGTTCTAGTTCTTTCAACAACACTATCAAGATCAAATGAAAATGTAAGTGACATATTTTCTTTTTCTTTTTTCGCCGTGAACAAGGTGACACATAGCTGACGTGAAATACTGCATGCCTCAAGTTGAGCCAAAATATACTGGGCTATATTTGCTTTTCTTTTGTTACCTAATTTGGTAATTAACGTGAGTTGCTAGTGCTGCTTTACACAGTGTAAATTATTTTCTTTGTTCACTTCAAAATATTTCACTTTTTTAATACATTTTTGAATTTTACATGAAAATTAGCATAAATCTTGAAATAAATATTGAATTGAAACGATCGTAATATTTAAACAACTTTTCGTTCACAGTGTGATTAGGTAGACACAAAGATATGCTAAGTAGAGATTTAATAAATTAAATCCTTTGATCCGGTAACTTTATTTCATTTACGGCAATCTCGACTTTTAATAATTTTACTATGTGTTTTTATTTCGATCAAAATATACAATCATGTACTAGGTATACATGTATGACTTGCTTTATTGTGCGGCAACAATGTTAATTGGCAATGAATTTTTTGCCAAGCACTTTACTTGACCTGGCCTTTTAAGAGATGAAGCGTGACTGCTTTGAATAGGTGCCTTAGTTTAAAACTTTTTTTCAAATTTAATTAAAATGAGCCCAAAATTGATCCTTTTCACTAGGTAAGAACAACATCTTAATGTAAAGAAAACAACATCTTAATATAAAAAAATATACAGTCAATTTCATTTGGACAGTAGACGGGCGGGAATATTTCAACTTCATAATTTTTCAATGTCATCTTTTTGAATTGACAATTTTGACTTCAATGATTCATAATTTTAACATTTTGATTTCACGAAATCACAATTTTTTTCTTGCATTTGTCTGTTAAGTGTTAAAAATGCAGTTATAATCAGCAATAAACTGAACTAAACCGTTACTATGCCAGAAAAAAGGGAATGCATTTAGATATAGAGTTTGAAATTTCCTTTTGTGTTTGCAGAATAATTCCAGCAGTGAAGTTGTACGAACAATAACATCAACAACACAAACAGTTACGACTCATGGCTCTACACCTGGATCAAATTTTCTAACATCAAGACCAAGGATTAAAACTTCTGTTGATAATATATCAACTCAATCAACATCAAAAACATCATCTGCATCATCTAGAACATCAAAACAATCACCAGATCTTACTATTTCAAAAAGTGTTACCTCGGCAACGAAGCGTACATCAGAAACAACAGGAACAAATAAAGTAACAACGTTTAAAGCAACTGTTGTGTCTTCAGAAAATGAAACACAACCATATGCAACAACTACGGCATCTCTGTTATCAACGACAAAGTCATCTACTCCAAGGTCATCAAGTAAATCTTCTTTGTCAGACAGTACACACCAAATAACAAAAAGTTCCATTTTCTCGAAATTATCTTCTACGGGGATCTCAACTAGATCAAAGTCTTCAATTGTATCATCTGTGTCAGGCAGTACACAGATAACAAAAAGTACGTTACTCTCGACATTGTCTACTTCCGTGTCTTCAAGCGGATCGAAGTCCTCAGTTGGACCGTCAGTGTCAGGCAGTACGCATGACATAACAAAAGATACAGTTTTCTCGACCTTGTTTACTTCGGGGTCATCAACTGGATTTAAGTCCTCAACAGGATCGTCTGTGTCAGGCAGTAAGCATGCAATTACAAATAATACACTTTTCTCGTCATTATCTACAGTGTCTTTTATAAGTAACTCAACCAAACATGGGACAAACAGTGGAGTGAACAAAATTTCAGACCCGACCTTGTCGCCAACTACTTCTAAGGTCACAGTTGACCCGGTGACCTCTCAGGATACGGTTAGCACGGAAACATTGTCGCCAACCACGTCTCAGGTTACGGTTATCCCGACTTTGTTTGCAAATTTAACACAATGCACATCAAACGTTTGTTTAGCTGCAAGTAAAACATTAGAAAGGGTAGACTTTGGATGGAATCCGTGCGAAAAATTTTACAAGTTTGCGTGTGGCAATTGGATAAGAAAACAAAAATCCAAGGAACATAAGGGCGAGCAAAATGTTCCGGAATCATTACAAGCAGAACTAAGACATGATCTTCTTTTGAATATAAAAGGTGTTTTTATCATTACTTAACGCTTTAATCAAATTATAAAGATGGTAAAAGTAAATATATATACGAGTGAAAAACTGCAAAATGCGTTTCTGTTATAACTGTCGTACATATGTGTACCTCTATAAATATTTAACCTGATAAAAGCTATGCTATATCACAAAATTGAGCCGCGTCACGACAATACCAACATTATAGGTTTGCGACCAGCATGGATCCAGACCAGCCTGCGCATCCGCGCAATCTGATCAGGATCCATGCTGTTCGCTATCAGTTTCTCTACTTGTTATAGAGTATGTAAGCGAACAGCATGGATCCTGATCAGACTGCACGGATGCGCAGGCTGGTTTGGATCCATGCTGGTCGCAAACCCATAACGTTGGTTTTGTCATGGCGCGGCTCAAATGATTCACAATTAAGACCATGCAAACAACAGCTATTATCCTACAAAAATTAATTATAAGTAATATTTTATCTTTGAGGGAAAACTAACAATTACCAGTCATTTAGTATTGAAATACTTATCAAGGTAATACACGTAAATGCGTATGTAAGAAATTCATTATTCTATTTCAACGTAGTTGAAAAAAGTTAAATTTCTCCATAATCTAATCTAAAACTAAGAAAATATTGACAAATTGTATTTTCAGATTTATTGCAGCGTCCTTACAGAGATGATGAAAGTTTCTCAGCCAAGCTTTCGAGGCGGCTTTATCAGTCATGCCTAGAATCTAATAGCCAAATTGATTTGGAAAGTGATGGTAAATACTTCTTTATTGCATGTTTTAACATTTATTAATTAATTACATGACCTACTTTGATTACATTTTGCTACTATTATAACAATTAATTTCACATTCAGTGTTACTTTCATCAGGGGATAAGCATCTAAAATACTCTTAAGCAAATATCTACAAACGTAATGAAATTCATGTTTGTCCTTTCAAAAGAATGACAAAATTGTTTGTTCCTGAGGCATAATGTGCCTTTAATATATTTGAGCCGTGTCATGACAAAACCAAAAAAATGGGTTTGCGACCAGCATGGATGCAGACCAGCCTGAGCATCCGCGCAGTCTGATCAGGGCTTACAAACCCTATTACAAGTAGAGAAACTGATAGCGAACAGTATGGATCCTGATCAGACTTTATATTTTATATTTATATTTTGATTGGCATGATATATCTGTTGCAGAGATTCAAGAACTCCACAACTTTGTAGATTCGCTGGGTATGAATGATAATGCAGACATACCTAGCACTGTTGAGGAGGTGTTACGTGATGCTGTGACAATGTTTGAAGTCTCAACTTTCTTTAAAATATCAACAACCCCAGCATTTAATGAAAATGGAGACTACGTTACTGCCTTGAAGGTAGGTAATGGTATGTTAAATATATTGTGTTACGATGTCAGTTTAAACAAAATATTTAATATATTTAATCCTGAGGAATTTAACCGTCCGAAATGCTCTTTATTTGACCTTATCGATAATTATAATTTAAAGTACAGCGATTAGCTATTGATATTAAAAAATTACCATTAAATATAAAGTATTGTAATTTATAAACATAAATCAATTCTGAACATTAACCCATGCTTTTAATACTAACAGCTCCACCGAGGTTCAAAGGACTAAAACATAAAATCAAAAATCTGACATAGAACCAACTGGTAGCTTAAGGCCTTAAGCGTACACGACATGACGTGTTAATGTCGCATCAGAAGAAAGAAAAATGTTAAAAAGGCGGCTTATAAAGTTTTGGAAGCCAGAACTAACCAATCGGGGGCACTTAATACTGATAAAATGTAAAAAAGATAATAAAAAAAAAACCGGTATTCTCAAAATTAAGTTGTAAAAAACAACAACATTGTTTAGTGCGATTCCCAGCCTAAATTAAGTAAAAAGGGACTCGTCAGATCTAAATTGCCCTCGGTTAGCGCATCTCAGTTGCGCAATTTACACACACGTATACTAATTAGCAAAATACGCTCGTATTTTACCTTTTATTTCCAGCTGGAACCAACGTCAGAGTATGTTCAGTTAAAGATGTATAGCAATACTGTGATCAAAGGAGAGGTAAATATATATTCTGTTTCAATTACAAGCTTTATATATAGAGATATATTCAAGAGAAAGATAGAAACGAGACAATTTACGTCTTGGAAGTAATGTGTCATGCATTGCGTTTCAAAATCTACTTCATAATGTATTATCTAGCAACGACTGTTGTCTACCGTGCAATCACGATAATTACCATCACGTGATACACGAAGTTCATATACATTTCACCTTAAGAAAAGCCATTTGTAATGGGACGCCAACTTATGAACAGATACTCTTTTTTCCAGGAATCATACATATATGTAGACAGGTTAACAACACTTCTGCAGTCATACATTACCACAATGGGATCAAGACGAAAACGTCAAGCATCTGGTAGGTTGTATTATGTGTGATGATATGCAGACAAACGTGAAACCTATGTGATATCGTATTTAACATTTTAATTACTGAAAATACATGTACATACATTTTGTGTTGCATACAATGAATGAATGACCTAAGGATGTTACGTTCTATTTAGACTATATATATATATATATTAATTAACTCTTAAAGTTATCAATGGAAATCCTAAGAATTATATTAAAGTTTGCACTAATCGTAACAAAAATGTAAAACTTTCATGACATTTTTAAATAATTGAATTCCATGGCATATCCATTTAGCGATTTTAACCTTATCAGATTACACTGTAACATGCATTTATTGCGTTATTTGGATTATGTTCTCAGAAAATAATTCAGCCGTGTCACGACAAAACCAACGTAATACGTTTGCGACCCGCATGGATCCAGACCAGCCTGCGCATCCGCGCAGTCAGATCAGGATCCATGCTGTTCGCTTACAAACCCTATAACAAGTAGAGAAACTGATAGCGAACAACATGGATCCTGATCAGACTGCGCGGATGCGCAGGCTGGTCTGGATCCATGCTGGTCGCAAACGCACTATGTTGGTTTTGTCATGACGCGGCTCAATTATCTTCTATAACTTATCATTTTAAACTTCAGGAGAAAAATCTTCCAACACAGCAATAGACTACGAAGACTTATTCGAAAAGGTTCTTCGGATTTATTATATTGAGTCGAATATCTCCACGGTAAATTATTTAAAAAGTAATTATAACTGATGAATACAACACGTGATTAATATTTTCAATAGCGGCTATAATAGATTTGCTTTGCAATATAAAATCGGACCAGTTTTCACATTCGTGCAGTTGGACAAGACTCTATGCTGATGGCTTTTCTATTTTGGCTAATATTAAAACCTCAAAGAACATAAATGGACAGCTCCAAAGCAGGATAAATCCATTATAAAAATAAAGTGGTGGCATGGTTAAATATATTGTCAATCTGTTGATTTAGGAAACACATATTTTAACACCTAAATACCTTCGTTTTTATCAAGCTTAAGGAATGTCGGTGGTTCTAGTCAGGTGCCCGTTCGTGCCTTAGGGCACCTAAGGTCTTTCTACACCAGTAAAGCTGGACCGTCGCCATATGACAAAGTATACTCTGTCGGTGTGACGTAAAACTCAATTAAAATGAAGAAAAAAAAAAACCCTTAATTTTCATTCTTTGATTCAGATTTTAGAAAATACCAAAACAACAATAGATCTGCAGTACATAACGTTTCAATATACTTACGCTAACCTGAAGACAGAATATCCTTCATTCATGTGGGACGCTGCTATTGGAACACTACGAGATGACATTCCTGTTCAAATAATAAACGCGGACTACTTTCACCAACTGGACTCACTTTGGAAAGATTTAAATGAAGATGACCTTAAACTGTTTGTATTCATGAGCGTACTCACTAAACGGGTATTACCATATGTAAGACAACCTTTTAGGAATGTGCTTAGCAACGTCGGGAACGGCGGTAACCAGACTTATACAGAAATAGACTGTGTTGAATTGTCACTAAACATTGCGCGTGAAGAGATCCACGCGCTTTATATAGGCCAATATACTCAAGAAGTTCTAGCAAATCGGTTGAAACTTACTGATATAAAGAATAAAATTAATGGTGCTTTTCAAAAGCTTTTATCCTCATCTACATGGGTTAAACAGGGTTTTAAACATAGCCGGCTCGACAATGGCGAAAAAATATGAAAATGAATTTTTCACCTTGAAAAACAAGCGTCAGACAGACGCTCTAATATCACCGGGAGAAACAATCGTTCCTGTCTCTGGCGTTAGAGTTACATAAACAGAAATATGTGTCCGAGATGAGTAGGCTAGGGAAGAAAGTATCAGAGATATCAATGGGACTGGACAAGTACACAAGTTTTACTTTGATGCACATTTAAAATGCAAAGGTAATGTAGTTTAGAATATCGTTTAGTTAAAAAATGTAATCGCTTGATACAGTATTAAATGCTGTAAGTTCATATTATCTTGCAATTAAATTATGTATGTTTGTGCCCACTTAAATGTAACTAGTTTTCAACTTAATTACATGATGTTCACTAAATTCAATTAATAATAATTTTATTGCCAATTAAATACAATTTTCCTGGTATTGTGACGCTTGATACAGTATTAAATGCAGTATTAAATACCTTGATATTGTGATGCAAAGCGCCCAATAATCATGATGCCTATTATGATGCCTTTTTGTTGCCAGCATTTTACAATAGTTTGATATCTTATGTTAATATTTTGCGTGTAACTTGTTTGTTAGCGGCAATGTTAAAAATAATAAATTATTATAAATCAGAACCATGCTTTAGATCAATGCCACTGCTACAGTACGCAACTCAAAATGTCTGTGTGTCAGTACTTTTATGGATTCGATGTTAGACTTAAAAAAAACAGTCTCAGATTTTATTTAATTGCGTATTAATGCTTGCAGAAAATTTTCGATGCGACAACACTGTGTCACAAATTTCTGCAAGTATATAGGGAAAATTACCAGAGCTACATCGGAAAAAATATATACCATTTTGGATCGGCAAATATTTGCTTTGAGCATGGTATATGTTTATAATTAAAATATTGTAAGGTATAACAAAAAAATTAGGAACTACCTTTCAAGACATTGGCGCGGCAATTAGCGGTAACTGAATGACAACGTAAACCAATGTCACGTGACCAACTACCCTTGCGTCATGGTACATTAAATGGTCAAACTTTTGGAGCGTGATAGAATCCATTAACAAACATATTAAAATAAAACAAATGAAGGTTTACAAATGAAAGTTTTCAAACCCTTTGCAAAAATATATAATTATTTATATGGTTATATGTAATTTAGGTCTTCCAACGGGTTAGCAATTATTTGAACGAGGAGAATCAACCATTGAAGTATATAGTTATATAGGAATGCTAATGGCACAGAAATTCGTCAGAGTTTTAACAGGTAAAACAACAGTTCTTAAAACAACAGTTTCTTGTAGATTATAGAAAATGATTATCACATCTGAAAATGCATGTATCCCAACTTATTTTATGGTAAAGTTTTTAGCAATCAAAAAAAAGCGATTTACCACTGTTTTTTTAACAAGCATTAGATGTAACATTATTTTTTCTCTCATGATTCGATATTAAGTAACTCAACGCATGTTCCTTTATTAAAAAAAAAAACAATAGTTTATTCTTTTCCATACGGACTGGAGGAAGAATAATCCAAGACGGAATATATGTGCGTTATAAACAAGACTCAAGCCCGCGCACCTGAAGACAAACACGTTCCATTTCCTGAGCAAAGCTTGCGGGGTTTAAAATAGGTTCATACAAATAACTGAAGTATGATTATTCAGTTCCTTTTAACCTTTTTTGAATAAATTATATGCCAACAATTATGCATCATAATTAGAGTTAGGTCCATAAATCTTTAATGGTATTGTCTCTTTCACAGGATCTTTAACTGGCGGGGTTCCACCACAATGGTGGGGAACCGATAACACACTCGCTTTTACTGATGTCCCTCAATGTTTTGGCCAGCAACTTTCCCAAATTCCAGGTTTGATATTTCTATATGCTAAGAAATTTGATTTTTAAAAAAAAATATTTTAAGAACGGTTTTTGTTTGTAAGGAACACAATTTATATTTTAAAAAACGTGCTAAAATTATTTTCTGATGTCTTTTTTTTCTTGGTGATAAATTGAATCCTTGAAGTGTTTAATGTTTCTTAACATTGATACATGAATAATACAATTACTAGGGTACTCGAGTGTTTCTCTGAGTTTTTTTGCATTGTATTCGGTGTTATATGTGGCGGCCGTAAAAGCTCGCCCCTCATTATCAGAACATCATCGGAATATTTAGCGCTTTTTGAAACATAAATATTTCGTAAATACAGTGCTTACACAACTCATGCTAGGTGTTTTGAAACATTTCACATGCAATGTGTTTACAGGTTTTTTGTCAGTTTTTTTTTTTAAATCAAAGGACTGCAAGCTCTGTGGTATTTTCTGATTATTTGCAATCTAAATCGTACTGTATATCTGTATGTATTTTCCTAAATAATTTTATTTTTATGTACAATAATTCATCTTGCAGGGCACCAGAGTTTGATACATACGGAATTTTGCATAACTTGAGGTGCATCAAAAAATCATTTCATGCTCATTTTTTATGAAAGCCACACTTTATCCTTGCATTTCGTGGCTACTTCCTTAACAAATACACTTAAAAAAACAACTTTAAAAAAAGTTGCCTCGACTGGGATTTTGAAACCCCGGACCTCTCACACACTAAACAAGTGTGTGACACCTGCACCACGGAGAAATTATACGAATAAGACTTAAATAAAATCAAGTTATTCTAAATTAAGAATTTCCACTGCATTTCGGGTTTGTAATGTTACGAGCCAGGCGTAACGAGAAAGAAAAGCCAGCAACAAACTTGTAACAATAACAAATTTATTACAGAAAATTATTAAAGAAAATAAAAATAACAAATTATCTTACAAATACCTGAAGTCCAAATAAAAATTACAAATGTCTAGTCTGATTCCTGGAATGCATCCTTTTTCAATAGCACAGTTAAATCCAAGTTTAAATCCAAAGAACACTTTAGAATAAATTCCCACAATAAAATCCACAAGAATAATTAATAATCCAAGCTCCAATTAAATCACTTAATTTCCAAGTTGAATAATACTCCAAATATATTGATTTCTAAAAGATCACTGATGACTTAAAAGGTAACTGATGACTTAAAGATAAGATTAATGAAAAATGTCTCCTTATATATATTAACTAAGAAGTTTACCAGAAAGGTCTATTTATGTTTCTCAAGTAATCATAATCTAGCAACTTCAACAATAAAGATCATTCCAGAAGTTTCTATCTAAATATAAGCATGAGTTTTCTACAACAGTTAAAGAACCTTCTAGTACATACATGTAAGTTTATGTTCTTAAAAATAGAACAATGATAATATTGGAAAATACC